CCAAGGAAACCCACTCGATTGAGCCAAAATTTGCACTTCTTGAATTTGGTATATAATTTCTTTTTCCTCAAAGTTTCAAATACTATTCAGAGTTTTTCTTCATGCTTCTTCTTATCTTTGAAGTACACAAGTATGTCGTTAGGGAATAGTATGACGAACTGGTCTAAGTACTAATAGAAACTCAATTCATTTGGTCCATAAACACAGTTGGAGCATTGGTCAACCCAAAAGGCATGACAGTTAATTCATAATGCCCATAACAAGTCCTGAAAGTAGTTTTCGAGATATTGCTTTTCTTGACCTTTAGTTGATGATATTCCAACCTCAAGTCGATCTTTAAAAACACCATTGCACATTTTTAAATATACAAAAGTCAGTAATGGACTTATGATCAATGGGGACAATGGCCCAATCAACATCAAAATAGGCGCGGGGTACTAAATAAGAGGTCGAGAAGAAGAAAAGACTCTAAAAATAAGTACTACAAAGATTGCACAAAACACGAACAATAGTTGCCCAGTGAACTATAGTAGGAGCTAAAACAAATTGGCTAACAATTTGGACAGCATAAAAATATCAAGACGTATAATGGTGAGATAAACTAAACATCCAACAATAGTGCAAGACAAAGTAGGATTAGGCAATGGTATACCGTTAGATGTTGAATATCAAGCATTGGTCCCAAGAGGAGTATCAACAATTTTAGTATCAATAAGACAAGCATGCTTAATATCATCAACAACATACTTAGACTGAGATAGAAGATAACCTCTTGGAAAGGAAGCAATTTCGATAAAAACAAAAAAAAAAGATAATGCATCTAAGTTATTCATTTCAAAACAACAAGCCAAATCTGATTTTAAATTAGCAATTCTATCAACATCATCACTAGTAATAATCATGTCGTTGGCGTATAGTAAAAGTAGAATGCAACTAGTCAAAGTGTATCTAAAGAATAGTGTAGAGTCATGATGACTAGATGTAAAGCTAAGAGAGGCAACAACAGTAAAAAAATCTCTCAAACCAAGCACGAAGTGCTTGTTTAAACTATAAAGTGCCTTCTTGAGCTTGCAAATATATCCAATAATATGAGCAACACCATGAGGGGGAACCATATAAACGTCATCTTGAAGATTGCCATTCAAAAAGACATTTTTGACATCCAACTGAGAGAGACTCTACAGACGAACAGATGCAACTATAATAATTGTGTGAATAGTGGTCATCTTAGCTATAGGAGCATAGGACTCTTCATAATCCAAAACATATTGTTGAACCAATTTAGCCTTTTAATGCTCGATCAAACAATCAGATTTGGTTTTGATCTTATAAACCCAAAAAAAGCCAATAGCATGTTTACTTGGAGGTAATGAAATCAAATTCCAAGTATCTGTCTTATATAGGATAGAGCGTTCATTAGCTATAGCATGCTGCAAAAGAGACCAAAATAGCTTGTTTATTAGAAGATGGCTTAGAAAGTTTGTGAATAGAGGTTAGGAAACCACAAATGACTCCGAATTATAAGAATAAGTAAAATCAGGTAATTGAGTGGGTATACGATTACAATGAGGATATCGAGAAGGAGGAGCAAAGGTAGATTCAACAATCTCAAGCGATGCTTGGAAGACCATAAAAGAAGGATGGATATCAAGAGACGGCACATGTATATCTGTATTACATGAATGATCAATAATACATGAGGTATAGAAAGATAGTCTATCGATATCATCAGAAAATGGATCAATATAAATGAGATTAGACTTTTCTACTTCAAAACTATTGTCAAGAATAGAAAAGAAAGGAATATGCTCAAAAAACACAACATGATAAGAAACATATAATTTTTTTAATAGGTTCAAAATAGCGATGATCCTTTCGACCCTACCCATAACCTAAGAACTTTCAGATAGCAGAGCATAATGTCAACTTACTACGTTCTTTTTCAAGATAAAGAACAAAATAAGTACAACCAAAGACTCGTAACATGAAGTAATCAGGAGGATGTCAAAATAGCCCTTCAATTGGTGATTCAATAATATGCCTATACTTTCATTTAGCAACACTATTTTGTTGTGGGGTGTTGTTGTGGGGTGTTGGTACACAAGGTTTTGTGAATTGTTCCATTAGATGCAATCAATTCAAAGAAATTAGCAGAAGTATACTTGCCCACCAAAATCACATCTAAAACATTTAATCACAGCAAAATGTTGAGATTTAGCAAGTATTCCAAAGGACCGATAAATAAAAAGAAAATCAGAGCATCATTTCATGAGATTTATCCAACAATAATGATTATAATCATCAATAAAGAACACATAATATCCAAGTCCTAATCATGTAACAATAGGACCAGGTCCCCACATATCAAAAATGAACAAGATAAAATGATGTAACGAACGAAAAATACTTTGAGAAAAATGTAAAGCAAAAGTTTTATCTAATTTGCAACAACTACGATCAGAAATATCATGAGCTTGCAAATCTACCAATTGAACCTTAGAAACTAAAAATTTCAAACTACTAGGAAAAACATGTCCAAGGCGACAATGTCACAAATAAAAACTAGAGGAAGAAGAACTCAAAAAGAAATATGACACATCAACATTATAAGCTTCAATATGTGGTGGTCCCATATAGTCCATAGCATATGACCCTCCTTGTCTATAGCCTATCCCATTCACCTTTTGAGATCGAAGATCCTGTATATGATAAGCAATAGAAAGAACTGAACTAAGTATCTAGAATCACATAACTCACCAACTGAAATAAAAATTAAAGTAAGATTAAAACACAATGGACATCTAGAAGTGAGAAATTATGCGTGTTCATAAGACCAACACTTGCCAAAGGTAATGGGGTGCCATCAACTATCATAACAAACGTAGAGGAGTTAGAAAGATGCAAGTAGTTAAAGAATTTGGAGTCAGATGACATCTGTTTGGAAGTACCAAGTTAATGATCCATGAGGAAGAAATAAATGAGGGATTCTGGGATTACAATCTTGTATAGGTAGAGGCTAACATAACATGTGGTCATATGGCTAAGAACTTATGCTCTACTAGATCAGTTGAAGAGGGACTAGATGAAGGTAGTGTTCCAAGCATAGATAAGTCAGCAAGCAGCACATCTCCTGCAAGAGATTTCAAACGTGTTCTTCAGCCACAATATCACTCACCACAGAATTAATTGAGGAAAGTGGAGTACAAATGCAAAATAAAGCCTCTAAGTCCCTCATAGTCATTGCAAAATACAATCAAAAACTGAATCAATCGATGTAGCTCTCTATAAGTAATATGTTCCTCACATGCCTTCAGGTCCGCCAATTTTGTAAGAGCCAACTCATAAAATCGAAGTCATAATGGTGTAAAACTCAAGAATGCTCATATTCATCTGTTGTAAAGCCCGTATATCTCATTCTCCAACTGATATCTCTTTCCACAGTTAGAATTAGCTTCCGTTTGATAGTAATATTTCACCTCAAAAAATTGATTTTTTGATCGTTATTTCACTATTTCAACCGTAATTTTTTACTTTTTCAGTCATAGGCGGGACCTACTTTTCTCTCTAATGGTAAAAAAAATCAATTTTCATAATCACTACCGAACAGACTCTTAGTTTAGAACTTCTCCAAATGAACCCAAACTTCCTTTGCCATTTCATATTACTCTAACTATGTACCAGTTGAATGCTCAATAGAATTATGAATTCAAATAAGAATTTTTGCATGATTCGATTTTACATAATCATCAGCAGTGCTACTAGGTTTTACAACAGTTCCACTAACATAATCTCACGATCTTTTTCCTTTAAGAAAATTCCTCATCTACTCCAATATGAGTAATTTTTACCATTTAATATGACATTAATGGATTTAAGAGAATCGTCCCTTTTAGTTGCCATCATAAAGTATTTCAACCAACAAAACAACATAAAAATATCTCAAACAAATAGGAAAAACCAATCAAACGTCAACTCAAAAGGTTGCAATTGGCAAATAAATATTTACGATAGGTTTTGCTAACTGGAGAAAAAGACAGCAATTAGTACCACTCTTAGGTCTAGAAATCGGACAAAATTGAAGCACCTGCTGGCCACTATTCTTTCAGTTGACAACATTCAAAATAATCTGCTTCCCACCATATTAGTTGCAACGTTTAATGCTCCAAATCACGCAATTCATCGCCCCACTATAAGACCTTTCAATGCTATCGTCGGAAAAAAAATTTCTTCAGTGCGACTTCTAGGAAAAATCAGAAAGATGCCGCTGAGATCTCTAATATTATTCTATGTTGGCTTTGACACCATGTGATTAATACAAATCAAGTTCATAAATATAAAAAAGGAAAACTATAAGAGAAGGAAAAAAGAGCCAATTATAAGAGACTCCACAATTAGGGCTAAATGTAGGATACCTGAGTTTTTATAGTACAAAATAAAGGAAAAGACAAAGAACTAAACTACCCTTAAACTAATTAATTTATTAAATTAACATTTTCCAATAATTTCATTTACCTTACATTCCTTCTCTTTTGAGAGGTGTGTGTTTCATACTAATTGAAAGACGCACTATGAATTTCCAATCAATTATGGTATCGGTACAAGCATTTGGTTCACAGGCAACTTAAACGATTTCAAATGAAAGGTATGTGGCCCACCCAAAAGCAAAAAAAAAAAAAAAAAAGGACTAAAATAAGGGACTTGGTCAGAAACCCATTTGACCCAATTTTTCCCCACATTTTCACACCCAAATGACAGAAGTGGAGGGAATAGAGGGAAGGAAGAAAAAACACATTTTGCACGAGAAATAAGTCTAATGTCTTCAGGCGGAATTCACGTTGCCTAGCCATAAAGCTTAAACCTCCGATGTATTTTCAACTTGAGCCACATTCTTCTCATTTTCTTTAGTGTGGTGCACTTTTTAATTTCCAATTTCTACTTCATAGGTTGGAAAAATTACGTTGTTTGCAACTATAGTTGAAGTATTGAGATAATAATTCCATTAATCGCTACTAGTGTGCACCTGAATCCTCTTCAAGGTTTGTTTCCCCCCATTTTAGTTTATTGCTTGAACTGAAGGAATGAATTATTTTGTAAAAGATCAAAAGCTACATTTTGAGTCTCCTAATCTATTAGGCCAATCATGGAAAAAGATAATGTTGAAGGCAAATATAATGCTCCACCTTACTGTTTGTTTGGTTCATTTTCTTGCTGAGTTGTGTATTAATTTCTTTCTTTATGGACAATGCTATGGAATAAATTTTGTTAATTGAGGGATTCCAGTGGATTTGCATTTTCTTGACTGCGACTTTCACATTTCACACGTGATTTTGAATTCATGAGGAAACAATAGTTTGAGGCTGTAGGGAGACTCCAAAAATGGACATGAATTCAATGCTATAAATATGCACAAGTTTCTATACCCATAGCAAAATTGTTGTGCATTTCCAATTTTCTATTATCTATTTCATTGGATTTGGTTTATGTTTCCTTAAACGTTAGCATTTCTTTAGTTGTAGTGGTGAAAAATGGACGACATGCATGATGACTTCTTGGTGTTGTCTACTGAGGATAACGTTGCGGAAAATGTTAACATTGTCGAAAATGAAATGATAGAAGGGGATGGTGTGATCGTTCCTAAGGTGGGTATGATCTTTAAGGATGAAAAAGAAATGTTTGAGATGTACAAGAAATATGCTTATAACGTCGATTTTCCAGTTAGGAACAAATATTCTAAAAAGAGTAAGGATGGAGTTCTTAGATAGGTGACCTTCACTTGTAGTCGTAAAGGTCGAAGAAGCTATAGTACAAAGGGTTCTTTGAAGCCACAGCCAACATGTCAGACAAACTGTAAAGGAAGGATCTCGGCATCTTCAAGTGTTCAAGGAAATTGGAGAATTAACACAGTCCACTTCGAGCACAATCATAAAACAAGTCCTTCAAAGTCTAGGCTGTATCGATGCAATAGAGAATTGACTACAAATGTGAAGCGTAAGCTCAAGGTGAATGATATTGTAGGAATTCCATTACACAAAAGGTACAACTCCGCAGTTGTCGAAGCAGGCGAATATGAGAATATGACATGCCTTGAAAAGGATTGTCGGAACTATGTTGAACAAGTAAGACGATTACGACTTGGAGTAAGAGATGCCGCCACTATACAAATATACTTTTCAAAGATGCAAGCATAGTGCTCCGAATTTTATTTCAACATGGACCTAGACGATGAGTCACGGTTAAAAAACGTATTTTGGGCAGAAAATAGGTGCAGACAAGCATACAAGGAGTTCGGTGATGTCGTCACATTTGACACCACTTATCTTACTAATAAGTTCGACATGCCTTTCACACCCTTCATTGGAGTGAATCACCATGGACAATCAATATTGCTTGGGTGTGGTTTATTATCAAATGAGGATACAGATATTTTTGAGTGGCTTTTGAAGACGTGGCTTCAGTGTGTAAATGGGTCTTTGCATAGAATAATTACTGATCAGGACAAAGCAATGCAAAATGCAATTCAGATTGTTTTTCCAAATACAAGACATGAATGGTGTTTGCTGCACATTATGAAGAAGTTGCCAGAGAAGTTTGGTTATCACGTTGATAAGGCATCGATATTCTCGTCTATACACAAACTAGTATATGATTCTCAGTTTGTTCAAGAATTTGAAGAAGGTTAGTGGTCGATGATCGACGAGTTTGAATGACATGATAATAATTGGTTGTCGGGTCTATATGAGAATAGAGGTCTCCGGGTGCCATGTTTTTTGAATACCAATTTTTGGGCGGGGATGTCAATAGCGCAGTGAAGTGAGAGTATGCATGCCTTTTTTGATGGATATGTCCATTTGAAAACCTCGTTGAACCAATTTGTAGAACAGTACAAAAGAGCTCTGTGAAAGAAGGTAGAGAAAAAACTTCAGGCTAATTTTAAATCATTCACGCAAATATTCCCTGTGCTACAAATTTTGAGATTGAGAAGTTATTTCAATAAGTTTACACTATGTCCAAATTCAAGGAAGTTCAAGATGAGTTCACGGGAAAGGTTTACTGTGACATCATATCTGTTTCTGAGGGATGTTCGGGGACTGCATATGAGGTACGAGAGGATGTTATGTATAATGAGCACCAGAAGAAAAGAATAATTTTCGTTTCTTTTCGGAGAGATGGATGTGAGATTAGTTGCTACTGCCACTTGTTCGAGTTCGGAGCATAATTTGTAGGCACGCGATCACAGTTTTGATCCACAATGATGTCACATTACTTTCGAAGAGATATATAATACGGAGATGGAGGAGAGATGTACGTAGAGCACTCACTAGGGTAATAGTGAACTACAATGGTTTGATTAGTACTCTAGAGCAATTGAGATACAATGATATGTGTCAGGCTTTTACAGAGGTAGCAGACCTTGCTACAGATGATGAAGTGTGGACACGTGAGGTAATGGATTGGATAAACAACAAGGCGAAAGATTTGAGGTTAAACAAGTCAAGCAGTGAAAGCAATTTTGTGTGACAACATAATATTCAGTTAGAATCCCAGTGCTGTGATTCGCTTAATAGTGCAAATGCGAGCATACTAGATCCAAAATCGTCGAAAAGAAAAGGTGCACCAAGGAAACTTCGAAAAAAAAAGCCAATTGGAGTCGATTTCAAAGAAATCGAAGGTGTGTACTTGCCTATGATCTTTTCCATTCTAACATAGTCCTTTACCAAATTTTAATTCATCTTAATGTACATGCAGGCAACTTCAAATTTAAACAAAGGAAAGAGACCGAAACCATGGGATAGTAATACAGATGAGGCTACACCCAACATTCAACCATTTCAACAAACACAATATTCACAATCAATGTCGTTCTCGTATTCACACCTATTATTGGTTAGTATATTGATTTTACATAATTGTGGCTTTTTGAATAGTAATTTAATTTGCTCTTTGATGTAGGCCGACACTAGAACTCACGTGTTTACCCAACAATTACTGGATATGAATTTGACCCCTCCGTCGTCTTTGAACAATGTACTCGGTTCTGCGGGTATGGGCATTTTTCAATCATTCTAACTCAATATGTGCATGGACAGTATTAATGCAGTAATGTCCGTGGTGCACATTAGGTCAATCGTTGCAATCCTGCTACTCACATTTACTGTATAATGGTGGCGCAGGAACATAGGCGAGTGGAAGTTCGGTGATTTTTTTTTTTACTTTGTTTTTTATCTTTTGCATTGCTAAATGCAAAATGGTAATATGGGCTTGGAGAGCATTGTAATGTTTTGTTTATGCCGTCTTACAGATTGTCCATAAGAAGACAGCTTCTATGTAGTGCTTAACTTCAGTTAAGAATGAAGACAAGATGGACTTCAGCAGGATCTTGGAAGCTATTAAGTTAGTGTACTCTTTGTATAATATGTTGAGTTGTTCTTGATATGTTTTGCATAAAATAAAAATTTATGGACGTTCTTTTCTTCGTCTTTTATCACAACAGGCTAATTTCAATGACAGGTATGATGAGACCAGGAAGAAGTGGGGTGGTGGAGTAATGGGGAGGAAATATAGTTTAATAGCCTAAATAGAAGGAAGATTTTCCAAATTAGTCTAAGAAATAAAAACATTTGAAAACTAGTCTCCAAACAATCAATTTTCCAAAAATACCCTTAACAGAGAAATTGCAACCAAAGCCACTACAATGTCTAAAAACCTTCAAATAAGTCCTCAAGAAAATATAGATCATAAATTTTTAATAAATCAAGATCCAAATATTATACAAAATTTTATTGACCTAAAAAACGCTACAAAAAATGAATTAACCTATTTGGAAGAAGATCTGAAAGACTTCTTTATAGAATATTTAGACCCAAAATTAAAAAAATAAAGATGATTCCATAGATAATGAAGCAATCAAAATGGAAAAAGACATATATAAATTAATTCTTAATTTAAGAAGGAGAATTGAAAAATTAAACATAATTATTCAAGAAAAAGTATTAATAAAAAATAGTGAATTTTATAAATTCTATTGTGATATTTTAAATACTTATGAAGAATCTAATTGGCTCAAAAATATTAACCCCTCCGCTGCACACTCCGACCAAATGGTATCAGAGCCATGTTACGAACCAAAAATTATGATGAATATAGTAGATGAAGAAAACATAATAGAAAAATTTTTGAAAAAAGTGGAAAAACATAAAAAACCTAGTTATCCTTATACCACAAATGAAAATTTTGGGGATATACATAAAAGATTAGAGAATCTAGAACATAATCTACAAATAGGAAATGCCCTATTAGATAAAAACCTTAGAGGAAAAGATAGGATTATAATTAATCCACCCCAAGATTTTAGGATAACACAAAAAGAAAATAATAAAGGAAAAAAGCATGAAGAAAAACAATATATGATTACAAATGTAGAAGAGATAGAACAAAAATTCTTAGAATCTACAGGTGAAGAGTACGAAGAATATAAAAAACAGTTAGAAGAATTAACTGAAATAATGGAAAATATAAAAATGAATACTAATCCATCTTCAAGTCATGATATAAAAGTAGAATTCAGTAGTGATGAAGAACAAGATTATCCTTATGGTACTACAATACCACTTAAAGATGGTCTTAACCAATATAGAAAAACACAGAAAAGATACACTGGAAATGTAAGAAAACAATCCATAAAAGAGATAAATCCAATGAAATCTTATAATGAACCAATCCACACAACAGGAGTATGGTTAGATTTAGATTGTGTAGATAAAGATAAAGCTATTGAAACATGGGTAAAAAGTACATATTTAGCTATACAATTTAACAAATGGGAAACATATACAGCTTTTGGATTTATAGAACATACATTCAGAGGAATTATTTCTGAATGGTGGAGAAAGTTACCAGAAATTATTAAAGGAAGGATAAAATATGGAACAAACAGAACTGAGGTATTAGATAATAGAAATACTTTAAATGAACAAAATATACAGGAAATATTAAAAAGATTTGAAAAAATCTTAAGAACAGAATTCTTAGGAGATGTGTATGCTTCTAATGAAGAAGAAAGAAAACAAGAT